CGCCTGCTCCACCGCCGGCTGCCGGCTCCCTCCCGCGTCGCCCCGGCTCTGTCCGCGCGGCCGGCTTCGCCAGCGCCCGGCCGCCAGGTCGCCGCGCCCCTCTGCTTCGCCCTGGCCGCATCCCGGCCCCGGGTGGTCGAAGTGGGGGCTAATTGCTTTTTCGTTTTTGATTTAGGGGTGTCTATGTAAAATTCTAGTGTCTAGCTTGTAATTTTATATTAAAATCTACCTGGCACAAAAAGTCATGCCACGTAGGCAAAAAACGGGCCTCACCTATCATAAACTCACTTAGCTGAGCCCGATCCGCCGATCAGTGTCTTTTGCAAAAAGATTACCGAAGACATAGTGTTTTCTGCAAAAAAATGTATTGTAGTGGTTTTCGCAAACCTTGCCTTCAATGTGGTGGTTTTGTGCAATTTACTCCACATGTTCAAATGTGGCCCTGCAATTTTTGTCCGAAAATAAGGTGTTAGCTGCAGGCGCCTCTGTATACGTTGAATACACATCCAATGAATGATGCACGCACAACTCAACAAGACCGTGCATCATTCTGGTACTTAAGCTTTTCGCAAAAAGAAAATAAAAAATTTCTAGTACTTAACCGGCACATTCCTCGCATGAAGGGTAGGAGTTTTTTTTAACACGGTACAATCAAAGTTGCTCAAATACACGGGCATATACCCACCGATGTGATACATGAAGGGCAGAAATTGTAGCGAGCAGTAACCACAGGATCGAAAATTCCAAAGCCCGATTCTAGAAATCAATAATACTAACACAAATGCCCGTGCGTTGCAACGGGAGAAAAAAGATAATATCACACGTCTTTTCTCGTTTATTACAACTCGTATTACAGTGATAAGTAGAATTATTTTTTGCCTCCATAAGTAAACTTGCTGAAATGTCTCTTATGTTTCTCTTTCTCCTAATTTTTTGCACAAAGCTCTTCCATGAATCTGCACATTCCTGGCAGCTAGCACACTGTTTATAATAGGTTTTGTGGGAAGTAGTACCGCCGTGCCCCGTGCATGGAGCTCCTTGGTGCAGCTGATATGGTTGCACACCTAGAAAGAACACAATAAAATAATATTCAAGGGATATTGCTCGACGCCAGCTCAGGTGCTTCACACTAAGGGAAGACCTTGGGCTTGGACATGTCATGCACTGTTCCAGAATCTTCATCATGCTAATGCTACAACGGCCAATAGAACCTGACTGAGGAAGCGTCGTTTTCCTTCTCAGTCCTCTGGTGATGTTTGGTGGGGCAACCTATTGTTGTTGTAGGTACATTATGTAAAGCATGTACTCTTTTTTCTTTCATTATTGTTCAGCTGCAGTTGCAAATCATCAAATGGGTAGGATGTATTTTTTTTGCCATGCCGAAAAAGGATGTAGTTATTTACCATCCTACTATCATCGGGTTACACGGCGACCATGATTAGGAGAAGTAAAATATCCCCTTTGGTGAAAAACAAAACATTTAGAAGTAGTAGTCCAGCTTGGACCATATTTTCTTATTGATAATCTAATATTTCTTGAAATGTAAAGCTTCTCTACTTTCACGACCAAATATTGGGAAGCACCAAACAATATTATGTCTGTACTAGAGAAAGAAGTAGAAAACCTAAAAGGATTAAGTTATTGATGCTTGAGGTAAGAATAGTAGGAACAGAATTGCATCAAGTGTTACCATCTGAAAAGTTCTGGCATGCATGCCTTAAGATATTCAATTAACTAAAGTCCTAGAACTTACAAAGAGGAAATCTAACAAGATAAGAAATGTTCAACTTTCATAAGTAAAATTGAACCTGACGATATAATTATCTATGTTATGTGAAACTAAATCAATCAATTTTGGTTATTACAGGCAAAGCAATATGATAAAATGCTCATCTCATCTCCAACTTGTCTGGCCTTTATAGCAGCTAAAGTAGCACTAATTACCTCAACCTCTGCAGCAGATGCTTCAACCAAATAATTAGCACATTTGCACTATCTTCTGCACACACACACAAAATAAGTTCGAAACACATCTCAGTATGTGGTAGCTCACATTTAATATGAACAGAAGACCATCCATAGAAAGATGGTCTGCACAAGTCTAGGACAGAAATAATGCAAACCTCGGTGTCACTGGACCACAACATTCTCAGGGCTGATATCCGCATACACATCCCCATTAACAGGAGGAGCAACTGGGTTTCCAAGAACCACAGCTCCATCAGCTGTTGTTTCTGCAGTCATTTGCATGTTTGTTCATCATCGTAGCAAATATGCTCGGTGCTCATCCAGCTTGCATGTTAGCAGGAGCTGCAGTTACAAGCATTTGTTGTTTCAGCAGCAAGAAGGTCATCTAGCAGCACACCTGCGGTTACAACTACATATTAATTTTTGCGTCAACAAAAAGTAAACTAATGAACCTACAAAGGACGGTGGATATCATATTCAGAGTCCATGGGAGAAAGGGAGAAAGCAAACTGCATGCATTATGGATTATATTGCTACAATATAGTGCAAGCAAGGCCATCCTTAGGTCCATACCTCTTAGGAACGTCCAGGGGCATGGTCCCCTGCAGATAGCTTGGCCTCGTTGAGTAGGAGGTTGTCAGGTGCAACATTGTAGTTGGGAGGGTTATCTGTAGTTGACGTATTTATAGTATAGTATTATTTACTCTTCATTCTCTTGAATCCATCAGACTTGTATGTAATACATATCTTAAGAAAATAAAATGAAACAACATCAGATACATGTAAACATGAAGGAAACACATTTGTCTAACTAAAATAAGACAAAGAAGAGATCCTTACTGTAATTGCATTCTCAACCAAGTGAAATACTAAGCCTTGCATGCCTATGAGCTCATCAAAAGGGACATCCTCGACACCATCCATGTCATCCAGACCATCTAACATATGCTCAACTTGGGCCTATTAGAGTGATTTGGATGTTTGTCAGAAAGCTTCTTCACCCAGTTGGCAAGTCTTCAAACCGAGCATGCAAATGTAGATTCGCTTCCTTTAAAACGTTTCATGCATGATCAATAATCTATAGTCCGATGATTCTTGCCAAAAATCAAATATCAAAATTAATCGCAGGTTAATTAAGCAGTGTAAAGGTAAAGCAACAGACTATCAGTTACACAAATCGTTTCAGGTTTTCAGCCACAACAATGTACAAAAAACATCAGATCTCCAGACAAATTGCCATTGGTAAGTAGCTCTGTCTAACATATGTTTAACACTAACTACTTCTTTTTGCGCCAAAAAGAAAACAGTAAATGCAATTCTGACTTTCAAAGCAAATATACTAATCCAAAATTACAAATAGATATTTGATCTACAGGAACACAAACACTAGTAACCGGGATAGATCATTCCAAGCTCAACCATTTCTGATATATAGGTTGTACATCAGAAAAATTCCCCACTACATTATCTAACCATGTATAAGACACCACTTCAGAGTTCAGACCACCAGTTCAAGAAAGTAAATTATGCAAAACTATTAAAAAGCAGATGAGATGCGAGTTTGGCTTCAACAATCATTAAGATATATCAGGAAATTACAAAGTTTGCTTCAGTGAATACCTAAGTGCAGAACCAACAGATGGAGTTCCGACGAAGTGTGGAGCAAGGGTGAACGGCGGGTGGTGTGCCGGCAGCTCGATCCCCACCTCATTCCCTCGTGTGCCGCACCAGGAGAGGAGCCATGCGCCCCTCGCGCGCCTGCGCATCCCGCCTGGCAGTGGCTTTGACGCCGGCGAAGTCCTCGCTCCCGGACGCCTCCATTCTCGGGTCCTTCGTCTCCGTGCGCACCTCCCGCTTCGCTGTCGCCGCCTGATGCGGACCCCGAGCGTAGCCTCCCCGCCTCTCCATTTTTCTCCTCCTTCGTCTCCGCGCGCCCATCTCCGTGCTCCCCTCCCACCTCGCCACCGCCACCTGATGCGGCGCCCGAGCGCAACGCGACCCCCTCCCAGGTCAGATCAGGCTGCAGTGAAGCTTCACATCGGGATCCATGGCGCTGTCGTTCCTGACAGAGACAAGATTTGAGAGAGAGAAAAGAAAGGGAGAAGAAGAGAGATAGAGTGTGGGGGAGAGGATAATGGACAACGGCTGGAGGTCGGCGGCAGTGGCGCGGGACGCCGGCGTGAGGAGCAGGCCGAGGCGCTCGGGACCTGCTGGTCCAGATCGAGCGAGGGGCCTCGGGGAGGAGCAGAGCACGAGGCGGCGGCGTACGAGCTACTCCCGGCGTCCTCGGGGAGTAGATCGGGAGGCTGTTTTTTTTTCTTTCTCGTCATACCGGTTCGATTGACTTTATTATATGGACTGCGGGTTTATTACTCTAAATCACAAGGACTTTTCGTAAAAACAGCGACGACGTACCAGGTAAAGATAAGAGATGTATAATGTTTATTATTATTCCGAAGGCAACAATGAATCAACTAGATAAGCTCACGGTACAACAAACGGAATCGGCCATTGATCACATTCACATATCGCCAATTCGATCCCGGAACCCCAGTATAAATCTCAAATGGAATCACTACCGACTGACAAGAAGAAGAAGAGACCGCGTCGATCCGTCAGTCAGATCACATGGCGGACACGGCGTAGACCGCCGCCACGATGAACCCGGCGACGATGCCGGCCGAGCTCTGGAGCGACCCGCCTCCGCTCCCCACATCGGCCGTCGGCGTCGACTTGGACCCTGCGCGTGCGTCGAACAAAACGTCGGTCAGTACCACAATTCAGACGCATCAACTTTCACCAACAACTTTGATCAATTATTACCTGCCCCGGAGGATGTTGGCGTCTGTCCCGCCGGCGAGCCGGAGGACGGCGACGCGGTGGGGGCAGAGGCGCAGTTGCTGAGCGGGGGCGTCTTGACGCCGCACTGGTCGGGGAGGCCGAGGGCGCGGGTCTTGTTGACGGTGCCGAGCCCGAGCGCGGCAGGGTCGGCGTTGAGCGCGACGCAGAGGCACTCCGGCTTGGAGCTCACCACGGCGGCGAGCTGCGAGCAGCACGACTTGGACGGCGCCGTCTCGTTCCCCGTGATGTAGTTGAGGCAGGGCGACATGCCGATCAGCGTCTGCGTGCACCCGCTCGTCGACTGCGCCGACGCGCCGCCGGCCAGGACCGCCGCCACGACGACGAGGGCCGCCACGGCCAGCATGGTCACCGCCCTCACCGCCATTTCTCGCTCCCCTTCCTTCCTTGAACAACTTACACCGTCAGGATCGACAACTGCTCTCTGTTGGTGGTGGTTGCCTTGGTTTTTGCCTGTTGTTCTTCTGATCCGTGATTGATTTATAGGTGGAGTTGTTCAGAGTTGATGGAGAAGGTGGCAACGAGCAGGAGGAAGAAGACACGACACGATCGATCATCGGTGGTTTGGTTAGCGTTGGTGAGCTGAATCTTCCTACCCTTGAAAAGAAAACTCGGGCTATCAATAACTACGTTCAGCTTTTGACGCGGCCTTGTTGGGTAGTACGTGGAATCTTTCAGCTTTTGACGCCACGTGGCTCGGCTTTGGTGTTTGGCGTGTTTGAAGAGATCAGCAACGGTATGCCGCCGTGTGACCGCTACGTGGTTTTCGTTTGGATTGAGCAGTGATAACCGTTGTGAATGGGCAAGGGAAATTTGGATCTTTACTCTTGATGAATAGCAGGGGAAATAATAATAATTGCTTCCAGAAACCCGCGCTTCCGTGAAGATTGAGCAAGCGCTTCGGTTTTTGGACCATCCAAGGAAAAATGGTACGACGTGTTCTTTTTTATTTGTGGTCTGTGACACAGGAAGGAAGAAGAACAAGGAAAATAAAAGGGAATCTTTTGCGCCCGGTCGACCGGCTGAGTATTCGGCCGGTCGCTCCGCTCACGCGCGCGACTTGCACTTCTGCTCGTGGGTCCTTCTCGCGCACCGAACGAAGCAGCTCGTCCACTCGTCGTCTTCTTCGTTCCGTCTCTCGTTTTACCCATCCAATCCCCGCCTACATCCACTCCTCGGTTTTTTCAGATTTCCGCCGGCGAGCCAGCCGTACTTCCAATTGGAGCACGCAGCCCCCTGCCTTCACTCCGGCTATCCGGGCGCTCCCCCTGAACCAGCTCCTTCAACTTTTTTCCTATCAGCCATGGTCGCACGCTTCGAGGCAGTCGTGCCTTTGAGGATGGGAGGACAGGCAGCGCTATGCATGGTCTCACTGTTGGCTGGAATCTGGTCGGTGTCGATGTTTCCACCGATGGCTGACTAGTGCTGCAGCCAGGGCTGCCGCGCTCTGAAACATGCAACGTGATGCCCTGTCAGCTTCAGACGTGGTGCTGGAACCGCTGTGAGGAATGCTACAATCATGCTTGGAGTTGCTGGAACCAAAGACTAAAGGTGTTCCGACTGGGCGACCAGTGACGGAAGACGGTGGTATTTTTGCTGGAATCATGGATTTCTTTTGCTGGAACCTTTCCTATTTTTTGCTACTGCAGTCTATTTGGTTGTTTTGCTAGAACTAGCGCCCTTTTTTTTTGCTACCACCTGTCCTTTTGTTTTGCTGGAACTAACATCCTTTATTGCTACCATCGTCTTGATTTTTGCTGGAACCAGCATCAGTTTTTGCTACAAATAGCCAGCCGAATGATACAATTGGTAGCTGTTTTTGCTACCATCGGCGATGCCCGTGGTGTGACGGCAGCGGCGGCATCGTTTTTTAGCTGCAAGCATCCAGCCTAGTGTATTTAGCTGGAACCACCCAGCCTAGTGCTGGAACCAGCAAAATCAGTGCTACAACCCTCGACAGCGGCAGCCCTGCGACGACGACGGCCGTTTTTGCTGCAACCGCGACAGCGGCAGCTACCACCGGCGACGGCAGTGGCCAATTTTTTGCTGCAACCGGCAACAAGGACAGCTATCTCCGGCGACAGCGACGGCCCACTTTTTTTTCTACAACCAGCGACTGCGGCAGCTACCACCGACGACCAGCACGACAGCGAGCTGTGCGGATATTTTTGAGTGTGGCGACGAGGGAAGACCAGCGGCGGCGCGAGCTATGGATCTGGGCAGGAACTACTGGCGTCACGAGATAGACGAAGTGATCCGCGCGGGAGGATTTTTCCCCTTTTTTCTGCGACGGGCCCGCGAGATCGTGCACGTATGATTGGCGCGATCGAACGACTGAGAGCCGACCGGCCGAAAGTTTCGGCCGGCGAACCGGCACCCATCACTGCCCAAAATAAAATGACGTGTGCTCTTACTTTCGGTTACCCTCTGATCCAAAATAAGTGTTGTGATTTGGATCAAAGGGAGTAGATAATTTCCCGCGCTGCTTTTTTCGTGCATGTTGGGATGCAATTTTCTTAAAGAGATTTCTATTTTCATGCCCTCCGCTCCTTAGTTCTACTCAGTTTTGCCCAACCCTTTAACTTGTGCTCATTTTTGCCATGCTCTGTGTAGCTGAACCTCACATATGATCAAATGCAACATTTTCATTGGGTCAACCCCTTTGACTATTACATGCATGATTGTGAGAATACGACATGTGTTCCACTGTAAAGTACGGCCACATCAGCCAGCCGATTGTTGCTCGTCTGGCCGATTCCAGCAATGGCTGGACAATATCTTGGCCTCTACCGTTAGCTGGTGCTCGTGCGTGTTGAGTGGCGGCGTCAGGGTGGCCGGGGGTGGACGGAAACAAAGGCAGTGAGTGAGCAACATCGTGACGGAGTTTGGTGTTTGTAGGCAACAAAGCTATAGCATGGATTCAAACGATTTTTTGTGCTGGTGTTGTTCTACAGCTTCTGGCTGTGCAGTTTGACACGGTCACGTGAACAAATGGTTACCGGAGCGTCTTCACGAGCTCATGCTGGACCAACAAAGGGAGGTTGCGATTAATGGCACTACAACACGAAAATGTTGACAGGGAGCTCACGTCCGTAGGCGACGAATTGACAATGGCGTCCTAGGCTACAGACAGCGAAGAAGGCGACGATTCATGGCGTCCGGTCTAGCGATCTTTGTCGTATTGGTTAACGATGGCGAGGCAGAGCTAAAGGACATGGTGGTGAGGCGAGGAGAGCACAGTGTCTACGTTGGTTGATGTCAGCGCGGCCATGGCGTTCTCGGTCATGGTTGGAGAGCGAGCAAGAGGAGCGGATAGTTCTGGATAGTAGATAGGTTTGAACTAGTGGTATCGTGCTTGTCTCTTGGCGTATAGTTGGGGACAAAGAAGGCCTCGAAGGCGCAAAGCAGGGCAGGCGCTCTCGGACGCGTCGTCCACTTCCACTAGGTGTGAGGTTAAAAATGGGGTTGCCTGTAGGTGGGCTGGGCTGCATAGTGCTTGCCCGCTACGTAACTTTTCATCTCTCTCTCTCTCTCTCTCTCTCTCTCTCTATTTCTGTCCTTTCCTTTTATATTTGAATATATTTCAGATCAAAAATTTGTAAAACCATCTAGAAAATTAACTATGAATATAATGTATGTTTACAAAAACACGGACATTTTCACGCTGATGGGATTAACTGAGACGCTGGCCCACGAACATCCCCGAGCACGCCCCCCCCCTTCACCACAGCACCGTATTGAGTGATGTGGTTTAGTCCCTCATCACCGGCGAGAGGCTCGCGCGCCGACCTTAAATAGCGGAGAGGGCCATATGCAACAAACTAATTCTATTGTAATAAGAGTATCAATGCTCGCTTTGTGAAGGAGATGATGATTTGATATTTGATCATCTCTTCATCTCTTTCACAAAGTAAGCATAGATGGTCTTACTATAATAAAAGAATTTTTTTACAAGTGACATCATTTTCACAATTTATCTGATCAAACTAGAGCACATAACTATTATTTTTCATTTTCAAGAAAATCAAAGAAAATTTAAAATTTGGCACAACTATGGGTGTTACCATTGTGAACATTGTTTCCATAGGCTTTTGTGTGAAGGAAGTACATGAAATAAGTTATAAATTTGGTCTTTTCATTTTTCATATAAGGTAGACCACATTGGAAGACCACTGACCAAGTTTCATGAATTACGGAGTATTATTGCTATATTTTCAAGATTTACTGGATTTATGGTGAATTATGAGATTTTGCTGAAAGTTGAACGACAAGTGTGATGTAGTTTGGTCCTGAAAATTGGCAAAACTCATTTTATGCTCTAATGTTGGTGGTGCATCCACTTGGGACAACCAAAGTTGAAATTCTGAACCATTTGATACGAATGTTCAACATCTCAAGTTTTACCCCATTTTCAAAAAAATCAAAGAAAATGAAAAAAAAACCCTCAAAAATTAAATCCTTGTGCATGAAGCCCTCTTGTGTGAACTAGTAAGTGGGAAAAATCGTAAACTTGCAATACCACACTTTTTTTAAAGACCTTCACAAAATGGCCTATCTAGTATGAAGTTGCATGGATTTCAAGGCATATGCCCATGGCCCTGGCCACTTCTATACCATACTACATGATAACAAGTTAAAATTTGGCACAACTATGGGTGCTACCATTTTGAATATTGTTGCCATAGGAATAATAATTTTTCGGGAATAGAAGTTATTGTTTCCATTTTTCAAGTGCCAGAAATGGCTTTTTGTGAATCAAGTACCTGAAATAAGTTATAAAATTTGGCCTTTTCATCTTTCATAGAAGGTAGACCACAATGTAAGACCACTGAGCAAGTTTCGTGAATTTCAGAGTATTATTGATATATTTCCAAGATTTACAGTGAATTACGAGATTTTGCTCAAATTTGAACTACAAGTGTAGTTTGGTACCGAGAATTGGCAAAATTCATTTTATGCTCTAATGTTGGTGGTGCATCCACTTGGGACAACCAAAGTTGAAATTCCGAACCATTTGATATGAATGTTCAACATTTCAAGTTTTACCCCATTTTCGGGGAATTTATTTGAAAAGAGCCCCCAAAACTAAAATCCTTCTGCATGAAGCCCTCTTGTGTGAACTAGTTAGTGGGAAAAACCATAAACTTGTAATACCACAACTTAAAAAACACCTTCACAAAATGACATATATAGTATGAAGTTGCATGGATTTCAAGACATATACCCATAGCCGTGGCCACTTCCATGATATATTCCATGATAATAAGTTAAAATTTGGCACAAATATGGGTTACCATCATGAACATTGTTGCCATAGGAATAATAACTGTTTTGGAATAAAAAATATGATTTCCATTTTTCAAGTGC